TAGCTTTGCCTTTAGCCTATCCACTGCTTCTGAATGTTGAGATTCCCAAGACCACTCCGAATCTTTCTTTAATAACGACCTTAACACATTTACACTCTCTGAGTAATTAGGTATAAATTTAGCTAAATAATTTACCATGCCCAAAAACCTCTCGAGAGCCTTCCTATCAGTAGGATAGGGCATATCCATTATAGCTTTTACTTTGGAGTCGTCTGCCCGCATACCATTCGCGTCAAACTTGTGACCCAAGTAAGTAATTTCTGATACACCAAACTTGCATTTTTCGCGATTAAATTTTATGCCAATATCTTTAGCACGTCGCAGAAGACACTCTAATCTCTGGTTGTGCTCGTCTTTACTACGGCCCCATACAATTATGTCATCAATAAAAGATTCAACTCCTTCTAAATTTTCTAAATGCTGCCTAAGCTTCGCATGAAATACTTCTGGCGCACAGTTTATACCATATGGTAAACGCAGAAATTGGTATCGACCAAATGGTGTGCCAAACGTACAGAGATCAGCGCTCACATCGTCTATTTGAACCATCCAGAAACCACAGCGCGCATCTAACACGCTAAACACAGTAGCACCACGAAAGCGCGCGGCCAGCTCCGGTACCGTCGGGAGCGAGTACTGCGCACGTTGCACCGCCCGGTTTAATGGTCGCGGATCTAAACAAACACGAATACTGCCATCTTTTTTCGCGACTAACACTATTGCATTTACCCATGAGGTTGGATGAGTGACCTTCCTAACTACGCCCAAATCTTCCATTCTACACAATTCCTCCTTTAATTTATCCTTAAGACCGAATGGAATTTTCCTAGTAGGACATATAACTGGTTGTACGTTTTTATCTATTACTATACTATATTTGCCAGGTAATTTTCCCAATCCTTGAAACAATTCATTATAGTTATCCAAATTGATTGTATTTATTTGATTTATTAATCCTAACGCAATACATCCCTCTAAACCGAGTACACTCTGACAAAACAAATCCACAACAACAAATGATAACACATAACTAGTTTTTCTAAAAATAAAAGAAATCTTGCCAATACCTATAATTGATAACTGATTGCCTGTAAACGAATATACACGTTTTGTGAACGGTTTAAGGTCTGTAATAGATAACCCTAACTTCATATAATTTACTTTAGAGATAACATTAATCATTGATCCAGTATCTATTTTTAATAAAAGTTTTTTACCTTGACATTCTATAATTTCTGTCCATTCCAATGGCGACTTACATTGTTTTTTCTTATTATCTAAGGTGTTTATATAAAACCTTTGTTTCTGACTTTTTTCGTCACTGTCACTATTTACGGTTTCTACACCGAGATTTAACACTTTGCGAATCGATTTTGTATGCTTACACACTCGCGAAAAATGACCTTTCTTTTCACAAACATAACACTTTACGTCACACGCCGGACACCGCTCGCCACCGAGACACCGCACGCTGCCGCATCGCTCACAAGCGACAAGCGGCGCACGCGCTGCTCGCGCTCCGCCGGCTCCGCGCCATCCTCCGGCGCGCCGCCCGCCTCGTGCTCTGCGGCCGCCTTGCACAGCATCCACTTGCACCCCCTCAGATGCACCGTCGATGCACTTACTCTCCTCCTTGGACATCTCTGCCGCCTGACAGATTTGTATCGCTTTGGATAGCGACAACTCGTCTGTGCGGAGAAGTCTATCTCTCACCGTATTGTTTACAATACCACACACAATCCTATCACGTAACAGGCTCTCGTGCAATTCACTGAACTCGCACTGCTGACTCAATACCCTCAACGCGGTTACATATTGATGGATGTTTTCACCCTCTTCCTGATCGCGTGAAAAGAATTTAAACCGCCGCACTGTGATATTTGGTTTCGTGCCGAAATATTTATCGAACTTCCTTAATACGCAATGAATGTCGTCTTCACTTTCACCTTCTTCAAACGTAAAAGTTGTAAAAGCCTCATAACCAGCTGATCCGAT